GCTTATGCTATGGTATAGCGGCGAACCAAATAAACATTGCAGCGCGCTGAAAGAACTACAGTTATCACAGATACATATGTGCAGCATTCCTTATCATGTTGTCAGCTCGCCAAGCACTCTTACCTATTCTTTTGTCGAACAGCGTGATGGTTTTAAAAGCTCCATTCAGGTTCATGCAGATTCAGATATACACACGCTGAGAATGTTGGATTAATTTAGGGCTAGGAACAGGCTGTGCTCATATATCACTCGTTTGCGTGTGGGTTGATCCCCCATGGCAGTAAGCTGGTTTGCTGGTGCTATGTCTGCGGTTAGTTTACGTTCAGATGAAGCAAGCCAAGAGGTCGGACTTGTTAGCTGCTATGATGATATATGAGTTTATGCACACTTCGACAGCAGCGGTCATTTTGCGCCCGTCACTGTCAAATGATCCTCACGTAATGACCACCGCACACGCGGACAGCGTAGCTGCGCGCTGGCTTATATCACCGGAGAGGATTCGTCGAGATGCGAGTTGTGCAAGATCGCTGCCAATGACCATTAAACTGGTGGGAACATGATTCCGAAGCGGACGTCCCTCGCAACTCTGGGGCAGTCCTCACGTCAGTGATCGGGTGCTCGCCAATTACTGAGCGCCGGAACAGTCCGCATCACGTGCTCCCGTAACGCCGCCGCTCAGCCGTGAGCTGGCGACAGCTGACAGCGGGTGGACGCAGCGAGGGCAGTGCCGACGCTCAGCCGTGAGATGGCGACAGCTGACAGCGGGTGGACGCAGCGAGGACCGGGCCGACGCTCAGCCGTGAGATGGCGACAGCTGACAAAGGGTGGACGCAGCGAGGGCAGTGCCGACGCTCAGCCGTGAGATGGCGACAGCTGACAGCGGGTGGACGCAGCGAGGGCAGGGCCGGCGCTCAGCCGTGAGATGGCGACAGCTGACAGCGGGTGGACGCAGCGAGGGCCGGGCCGACGCTCAGCCGTGAGACGGCGACAGCTGACAGCGGGTGGACGCAGCGAGGGCAGTGCCGACGCTCAGCCGTGAGCTGGCGACAGCTGATAGCGGGTGGACGCAGCGAGGGCAGTGCCGACGCTCAGCCGTGAGATGGCGACAGCTGACAACGGGTGGACGCAGCGAGGGCAGGACGCCGCTCGCTCTCCGGATAGGAGAAAGCCAGAGAACTGGACGTATGACCGATACGGAGGCGACAGAGGCTAACTTTCTCGCCTCTGTTGACTTAGTGGGAGGTCATCCAGTCACCCACTTTGTCTTTTACTGCACGAACTTAATTTCTAGCGTTCACGTGAGTCGAGGCTCGTCTGGCCCAAAGCCTCTTGGCACTTCTTTTTCAGCAGACAGCAAGTGGCTTCGATCGGAGGACGACGTGTGAGCGGAACGGGGACGACGGCCGGCTGCTGCTTCCTCGGCAGCAGCATCGGTTCTCTCATTTCCAGCAAGCCCAACGTGCACGGACACCCAGGCAAAAGAACACGCACTTTCTAGCCCGCTGACGTGCTGCCAAGTGCCGCAAGATTCCAGTCAACAGGGCATGGGCGGGCTTCGGATTTTGAATGCACAAAATGCCTCTCAAGGAGTTCGATGATATTGAAAATTGTTCGCATCTGCCTCAATGCGTAAAGTAGCACCTCACTGATTGCGCATGCTTTCGCTGTAAAAAAAAACTAGCAATGATGGCACGGCGTGAATCACTTCGTCCAGTTGCCACACACACCGCTCCTTTTGCCGCGTTCTGATTTTAACACATCCGTATACACACGCTCATATATCCGGAACTCTGTACGCACTCACTGTTTTCTGGCGTCTGCGGACGCGCTGACTGCCCTGATTATTTGTGCGCACTCGGAAGCTGGCTTCAAAACGGAGCTCCTCACCAGTTCTATGCCTTCATTGAAGTGCAGTGAAGTGTCGGCAGACTAGTGTCGGCGGCTCCACATGTAGGCATGGCGGGCTGTTCTCCAGAGGCCACGACCCCTATACCAATGACTGCGTTCCGCAAACTTTAGCTCGCTTGTACACGGATGGCTTTTAAGTACTCGTTCCGCATATTGTAAAAAGGTAAGGAAAGTGTTCTGAAAAAAATGATGTGGAAATGAATGAAAAATGATTCTTCACTTCCGTAGCTTCGTGAGGACGATTTTCAGATATAACGGCCGTCAACTGGCTCTCAATCAATGTTATGCAAGGTACGATGACGTAATCAAATGCTAACGCATTAAGGAGCAAATGTACTAAACAGAGAAATGACGCTGTCTAGAGCAGCCTATTCTACTTGAAAGTATACCAATAGTTATAAGGCAGTTTATTTCATCATATCTGATGTTGGCTTCAATATCTTCAAACGTGGAACATTCCCTTCAAACGCGTCATTACTTCTAGAGCATAGTTATATGTGGTATAAGCACCGCACAACAGGCCACAGCTTACAAGCTCATACTCGTCATTATGTCTATTACGATAGTCTTCACTAACAAGCAATATGACTGCTACCACAAATACTTGGCGCGGCATCTGGCAATCGTGCTCAGAGCGTGTACTCGGAAGCTTCACAGAAAAACCGAGGGAGTGAACACATGAAAACTTTTCGACGGGCGAAACAAGGAAAGATACTCAAACCATGGTGTTGATGCGGCGGTGCTACTGCAAATTTTGTGATCTACAGACCCACGGCGGTAGTATTGCTACGCAAGATTCATTACTTTTTTATTACCAACTACAAAAACTCTACCAAACTTGTTCAATGTTGTAAAACAAGTCTGAGGGCTAAGCAGGAAAAACGGCTAAACCAGCCCTAAAATATCCAAACACGGGGTTTGCTGCAAACGTCACAACTCTTCCTGTCACAGACGAGAGGTGGATAGGATTCCGACTGAACGTGAATCTACACACCTGGCCTGGTGTTCACTAAAACGCGACGTTGCTTCAACTACAACGACTTGCATAAGGCTTAGTGCCACATGGCAAAACTAATGCACCAAAAAGTTCATTTGTCATTGGAATTCTGCTAGTAAAGCTACACTCTACTCAAACGCCAAGCAGGTCGAACTGACAAAACAACAAACATGATGAATATATGATTTTTCGTACCGACACCACCAACTTTGAAAGGCCGTGTTGTCCATTCTGGGTTACCTTCCGCCTGCTAATTGTTCCCACGCCTTGTTAAGTGTCCGAACATTTTGCATTCTACGATTGAGCGTTTGCAGTAGACGTAATGTGTATAAGTAAAGACGGCATCAGTGTTTGCAGCAAATGTAATGAAGGGTGTACGTTTTTGCATAGAAGTTTTGTCGTGTGGCACTAATGTCGCGGAAATACGTCTTGAAGAAGAAGTAATGTCGTGAGTAAATAACGACCAAATACGTCGACAACACATCACTGTCAGCAGAAGTAATGACGGGCAAACGTTTTTGAAATATACGTTTCGGCGCGTAACACTAATGCCTCGTACAAGTCTTGGCAGTAGAAGTAAAATCGTAGTACTGTTGTCGGGAGGAGTTTCTTGCTGTAACACTAATGTGGTAGGGCCCCTTCCAGTGACCAGTTAGGACAAAAATGTGGGTCCGTGCGTGCAGCCAGCCAAATGCGCTCCAGCACAAACCATGGATCCGCCAGCTGGGGGACGTTTTGAAGAAATCATGCATGATCTCGGCGAGCAAAAAAAGATAGTGACTCGACCACGTGACCACGGATTCAGCGTTCTAGCATTAGAAATTGTTTAATGATTGATCATAAATGGCACAGTTTAAAGGGCATTTTTGCCTTGCATGGCTGGATTTCGCCCACACAGCTCCAAATCCGACGAATCGTAGGCCATTCATCGGACCAACATTCTTGAAACCAATGAAAATTCGATCGTGAGTTGTCTTGCCGATGAACAAATAATGTATTTTAACAAGATCTGCTTCCCTCGCTCCATGAGCTTCCCGAGAAGTTTAATGCGCTCCTTTCCTAGCGTTTCACTGACGTGGGGCACCCAAAAGCATACCCAATCCGCTCCCATTCACTGATGGCGGCATTTACCGGGACATCCCAGATAAGTGCCACAATCTGCCAGGCGAAAAGTCGGAGGTCACGGAGCGGCCGCGGGAGAGGAGAGGTCGAGCAAATCACCCCCGCGCCCGAGAGCCGCCCCGGGCGCACGGGACCAGCCACGTGCTCTGAGCGGATGTGACGCAAAAACCTGTGACGCAGACTAGATCTGACCCATGTGACCTATGGATAACAAACGTGCTTATGCTACTCAGGCACGACCGTGAAAGCCAAATATACGACATATGTTTTCCGGTGGTCGAGGTACGACGACGTTTCCAGAGCTGCTATGCCACCGGCGCAGTTATCCAGCTGTATCCCTAATTGGCCTGCACCCGTTTCCACACGTCGGAAACCTTCCGTTCGGACCGGACGACGCTTGTCAAAAGAGACACGTGGCTTCTCACCTGAGCGGGGCTAAACCCAGCAAGCATGGGCATTGGTGGCAGGCCCGGCGGCGGATATGGGAGCTTGCTTGGGGCCAGCTAAGCTTACACCCCTCACACCGCCGCACGCCGGTCACGGCCAGGCAATCCACAGCGGGGCGAGCGATCCCCAGCCGCAGCCACTGGGGTATTCGGCTGTTCCAAGATGGCCGACCAGCTGGCGCCGCCTGTACGTAATCTGGTAAGGGCTGAGACACTCCGGTTGGTCTGCACGGTGCAGGCACACAGCGGCACGGTGAGTGACCGCAATGGTCGCTGATGCGTTGCAATCCCAGCACCGTTGCGTCGCCATCTCGCTCGTAAGGCCGGCGCAGGGTTTCTCCAGCTCCCACGTCAATCCTCTGCCCCGGCACACCCCCACGTCCACGCTGTTTCCTGGCGAGCGTCAAAGTCGCATCGAGGGTGCAAGGTTTCAAGTGACGGCAAACAAAACGAAAAACAGCATGACAAGTGCGCTGATTGCTGACGCGTACGGCCCAGCTTCGTGCGCCGGCCGGCCGACCACTCACCGGCCGCCAACGGACGTCTTTGGGCGAGTACTTGAAGTTGGGCCCGAAGTTGACGCTGACGGTGATGCCCCGGTACACGGACACGGCCGGGTAGTAGTCCGACCTGCGGTGCAGCAGCAGCAGCGCGCCAATCAGGGGCGTGTGGCCGGCGGGCGAACCAGCGCACACGCACACGTACGGGCGCGCACACACGCCCCCACACGCGGGGACAGATCGACGTCCAGAGCAGACGTCTCCCCCACACGTGGGGACAGATCGACGTCCAGAGCAGACATCTCCCGCACACGTGGGGACAGACCGACGTCAAGAGCAGACGTCTCCCGCACACGTGGGGACAGATCGACGTCCAGAGCAGACATCTCCCGCACACGTGGGGACAGATCGACGTCCAGAGCAGACGTCTCCCGCACACGCGGGGACAGATCGACGTCCAGAGCAGACATCTCCCGCACACGTGGGGACGGATCGACGTCCAGAGCGGACATCTCCCACACACGCGGGGACAGGTCGACGTCCAGAGCGGACATCTCCCGCACACGCGGGGACAGGTCGACGTCCAGAGCGGACATCTCCCGCACACGTGGGGACAGGTCGACGTCCAGAGCAGACGTCTCCCGCACACGCGTGGACAGATCGACGTCCAGAGTAGACGTCTCCTGCACGCGTCGGGACAGACCGGCAGAAACCAAGGCGGGGGCCGACGCAAACGCAGCAGCACGACTCAGTCACGTCCGGAATTCTCTACCACTACACGTGGTTGCCACTTTGCTGCACGGCCTGGTCCTCTCACACAGACCCAACCGCATCCCTGTATTTGACACTGCTCTGAATAAGCCACACGCATCTTCAGAGGTCAATACATTTGTGTGCACGAACTGTGTCCGGAAGGCGAAACTTCGATCGCATGTCGGACATTTCGGGGACCATGCCTTCCCTTTTCAACACAAAAATATGATTTTTACTCAGGGCGAACGCGGCAGGACGATCGCCTTCGCCTGCCCGCATCCACTCCGAGCCTGGGAGACGATGTTGTGCTTACTACGGCAAGCAAAATATCGTCTACCGAACAATAAAGAACACCATCTCCCCAGCCAGAACAACAGACTGCCTTCAGATCTGTCCGGAGTGGGGCTCCGCTTGTTTCAAAAAAGTTGATGAAGCTCTTTTACCCTAGCCTAGTTAAGTGACCCATAGGAAACTTTCGCTTGCTATCTTCACTGAGTGACTGCGTCTTCCACTTTTCGCTATTTTTCAATATTGCCTGTTTATTCTTGTTTTTGAATCGTTCCGGTCGTGCGCGGCCCAGCAGTCAGTAACGCAGCATCAGTTTGTTCAGCGCGCACACCGGCGAGGGCCTGAATATTACGGACTCTGCTCAACCCATGTTCTCCCAGTTTTAAATCTTTGTAACGCTGGACAAAAAATCACATGCAAGTACGCTGCAACAAACGCAAGAACAGGAGCAGGGAGCGGGCACACAGCCAGCCGGTGCGGCGGATCATTGCCATGTCCTGGAGCCCGACTGATCAGCGACACCGAGGGTTGACCGAAACAGGACTGGCCCTTGCTGAAGGTCGCGAGAAACCCGTACCGAAGAGCAACGACTCGTTACTTTCATGCTTACCTAGTAAAGTTCATGACGATTACCAGAAATGTTTTCAAGACTGCCGAAGTCAAAACACCTGCATGTACATATCTCATTCGTCAACTTTTGCCACGCCACTCATACCCAGCCACACGGTCTGCAGCCGCGACTTAGTAACTGCATCATACCTGTGCAAACATGAGCCCTTGTGCAGTGTGGACCACACGCGACTTCCCAGACGTCCGTGAGAGGCACGAGACAGGATCACGGCTCAGATCAGATAAGACAGTAGTAACAGCCTTATTCCTCGGAGAAAAACTAGGAAAATGGTGATATAGATGGGGGGTTGATACTTCGACAACATGCCTTTATCGAAACAATAGCAGAAGTGAATGATGATGAATGATATACATATATATATATATATATATATATATATATATATATATATATATATATATATATATATTCACTTCTGCTATTGTTTCGATAAAGTCATGCTCAACGTCAAGAGCAGAACATATATAGAGCAGAGCAGAACATAATAAAGCGTTGCTCAAATATCAACCCATCCATATCTCTATTCTCCTGGTTTTTCTCCGAGGAATAAGGCTATTACTACTGTCGTATCTAATGAATAATGTTCCTCGCTAATGCATTGAACAACTCACGGTTCAGATCACGTTCACGGATCAAAACGCTTTATCAACGCTTTAGCTTCGTATGTTGGTGGACTCACGATTTGCCAAACTGAGCTAGAGCCGTGAAAAAATAGCCAACAGGCAGTGTGGTGACTAAATTTTTTTTTCTATTTCCGGTCCCATCCCCGAGATGTACCGGTGGCCCGTAAGGTCATGCCGCCGTGATGCTTGACAACATAAGGAAGAAAAATCAAACCTGTCTAGATACACTGAAAGGCAAGAAGTCAAACTTGCTGTGACAAAGATATTCATGAGCAGTGGGTAATGGGCGACGTCATAAAAACTAGTCCGGCCGGGTTGCACGCCATAATGACTACAGCGTTTTCAGGGAATGCAGGCCTTCAAAGCCCATAACTAGGAGCCGAAAATGTCAGCCGGTGATGGCGCTGACATCCTCCGCCGACAGACTACCATCTGACATCAGGATCCACCCGAGTCCGCTGCCAACAGACTACCACCTGGCATCAGGATCCATCCGTGTCCGCCGCCGACAGGCTACCATCTGGCATCAGCATCCATCCGCGTCCGCCGACAATCATCTGGCACCGGGATCCATCCGTCTGCTATATGATCATTTCACTCATTGATTAGGCTGAGCACCATGCTCATATAGCGAAGCGAAGAATCTAACGATCTGTGCCGTAGCATGCTACCAAGCCGTTACCTGTCCAGTGAGTGGGGCGGACGGACGGGGGCACCGGATACAGAGGGCCTGCTGATCCTCTGTATCGACGGACAGCGTCCGGTGCAGAGCAGCGCCTCTCGAGAGATCTCGAGAGAAGAGATCTCGCCAAAACGATAGTTGTCAAGTGACTGGCGCTATTTAACTGGCTTCCGCCTGCTGGCATACATGTGCCGGTGGGTCCGTCAGAACTGTATTCAAATGAACGCTTTATTAAGTATCTTAAAGCAATGACTGACGTTGAATACTCCCGCCGATAGGGCAGACCCCAGTGGTGATAATAGTGCACAACTATCCTGCTATTAGAAAATGGCGCGCTGTTTTATTAACACTGCTAAGCTTACCATTACGCTATCACGGAGGGAGGGAGGGGGGGGGGGGGGGGGAGTTAGGACGTATCGACTGCACTGTCAGGCAGCATTATGCTAGCATATTTAGGTACAGAAACGCGCGTACTCAGGTACAGGGACTCTAGGACGCACTAAAAACGGTGCGTTCTTGGCAGAAAAAACCTGAGTATGCTAGTTTCAACGAACTGAGTGCACTTGTGGCGACAATGTAAGCTACGTTAGTCTGGGCAGAAATGGTGTGATTCCAAAAGTGCACCAAGGCAACGCAGTCTTTGTGCGCTGAACTGACCAGGATACAGTCCTGCGTCGATCGCAGGTCCACGTCCGGCTCGCGTCTGCGACGGTCTGCCTGCCAGCACTCCGCGCTCCATGCTCCCGGTCACAAGGTCGCGTCGTCGCCGTGTTCACAGCGGGCCCCAGAGGCCGCCCCCACCGCCAGCCAACCAGTCACAGAGCAGCGTCGCTGCCGTGTTCACAGCAGTCCCCAGAGGCCGCCCCCACCGCCAGCCAACCAGTCACAGAGCAGCGTCGCTGCCGTGTTCACAGCAGTCCCCAGAGGCCGCTCCCATCGCCAGCCAACAGGTCACAGAGCAGCGTCGCTGCCGTGTTCGCAGCAGTCCCCAGAGGCCGCCCCGGCGTCAGCCAACAGGTCACAGAGCAGCGTCGTTGCCGTGTTCACAACGGTCCCCAGAGGCCGCGACAGCTGTAGGTAATCACATCTGGTCCTCTAACGATGCTCTTGACACCACCCGACTAAAGGGTCGCTACAGCCCTTGTCAAGATGCACACAAGGTTTCAAGGCTGTTATCAATGATTATTGTCCTGATAACAAGTCCACCATTAGTTTGGTGCCAGGGCTGAATACGTGACTTGCTAACAACTGCCCGATTTACGGAGGAGGTGCTGACGGCATGTTGACGACGCCGACAGTCGGCTGTTCGTCTCCGCCGGGTCCAGTGGTGTAGTCGGCACCCAGTTCAATTCTATGGACTCACGGATGATGACATACGGCCCTAGACAAACCTCTCATGCGAATCTGTTGTCTCTGTTGTCTGCGAAGAAGAGCTTTTATGTGCGAATAATCCCTACACGATCCATCTAAGCCATCCCACCACGTTTCATGCCAATCAGATGAAAAGGCCGCAAAATGTGTGGGAGGAGCGGGACGTACGAGTCTCGTGCGCCCGCCACTGAGGCTGGAGTGGAGTATGTTAACATTCAAATGTCAGACAGCCTCCTCGATATGGACATGGGTGATCTGGGCGATCAATACTGTTGCATATCTGGAATAAATTGGATGACTATCAACTCGAGTCGACAGAGAAACCTAGTAGCCGGAGACGTAGTTAGCCGAAAGTCAAGGCTACAGTTCACCTTATGCCGCCGTGTGAGCTGCCCCGCTGCCGAAGACTGACAGCCGGTTTATCCGTATCACCTCCGCACACAGTGCACTCCTATATCCTGAAGCGTAATGACCATTTGAACCATCATAATAATCATGATTGCATTGCGCACGTATTTCGGCAGGCGCCTTGACTGTTATGATGCGTAAGTGCCCGAACCCAGTCACTCCTGCCCGCTGCGAGTGTCAATGACGGCTGGCTGCTGCATCTTTGCCGGCCCGCCGCCGGGCTACACCCACGTCCAGGGCCGCGGCGGAGCAGGGGATCCGCCGGCCGCTGGCAAACACGCACCCGTACAGGTTGTGGAACGTCTGGCCCTGCAGCTTGCCGTTCTTGTAGAAGCCGATGCAGGCGCCGGGCACGGGCTGAAGGCGCTCCAGGGTGCCCGGCACGTCGTCCTTCTCCTCGAAGTACAGGTGCGACTTGGACTTGATCAGAGGCTGGGGACGCGCACACAGCCGGTCACCAGAGGACGGGCGTGCGAACCCCAAGCCGTGTCACAGATCCAAGTCCACCGCATACAGGTCACTCGGCTGCTCCATTCGGCCTACACAGAAGCCCGCGCGCAATTTTAGCTCCAGGTGCTAACGCGATTCTGTCGTGCTCAAAGACGACTCTAGTGCCAATAACCTCCCTAAATTAATCAGGTTAGCTGGCGCCTGGTCATCGACGTGAGCCAGGTCGCGGCCGTGTCCGTCCTCTGTTGGTGAGCATCAGTCTTCCCTCGCCCCGACCGCTCCGTCCGACGGCCAGTGCGCAGTGACCTTTACGGTCCGCCTCCAGGAAACGCCAACACTTCCGGTGGGGCTGGAACGGCCCTGAAGATACTCCGAAGTCGTGCACGGTGCCACCTGCCCAACAGTCAAGACACGTGCCGGCGCCAGCGGCGGACGGCTGCCGCCCCTCCCTCTTCTCCCGGCGGCCGGGGGCGGGGGCGCGCTACCTTGTCCTTGTAGCTGTCGGGAAGGCGGGCGGGCACGGCCGACTCGGGCAGCTGGATCAGGATGCCGAGCACGTCGCCCTGCTGGTACCCGGCGCTGAGGTGGCGGCCGCGCGCCTCGTGGAAGACTGTACCCTTCCTGCCGGCGGCGGTGGCGCCGGAGTCAGGGGCGGTCCTTGGCCACGCGCGCGGACGGCGCTCACCCACGGCACGCCCGGGGATACACTGGACAGGATCGACGGGTCCTGCCGGGTCCCGCCGGACTGCAGGAGGGATGCCGCGAATCGACCAGAAAAAAAGCGAGCTTTATCATTTTGAATCACTTTGAAGAACTGGTGGCACCAGATCACGCACAGCATAGCGACTTTATCGGATTATATACCAAAATACATACCACCAAGGTCAATGCATGATCACGGGCTACATCCCGAAGGCCCATTCAGTGAAGCCTTATTTCTCAGCGGGGCACATTCCGCGGTCTGATCCCGACACAGCCAGTTATCACCACAGCTCTTCCGAGCATCGCCGGTCGACACAGCCAGCTACCACCACAGCTCTTCCGAGCATCGCCGGCCGACACAGCTAGTTATCACCACAGCTCTTCCGAGCATCGCCGGCCGCGGTGGCAGGCGTTCGAGTGGGCACGCCGCGGCGCCTTTCTCACCAGGTCCGCACCATAGTTAGTAATCGCGAACACGCGAAGAGGCCGGCGACCACGCAGACGGCAAGACGGAATGCCAAACCGCTTTCACTGCGTACTACCTCATTTTCTGTTTCGCAGTGCTGATACAGCCTTACGCGGTGGTGTTCAACTTTTTGTCATTAATAACTTATGCTGGGGTGTCTACCAAAACTCATCTTACATACGCAGTAAACTGCGTGCGTGAGTATGAGGAATTAAGCATGATGACATCATCAGGACTAATTCCGAGATCAGTGCTATATCTACGCTCGATCATTCGCTGCATGATGTCATCGGCGGCAGCTCCCGTCCGGGAGTCCGCATTAGTCCAGCTGCACGTGCCGCCGGGCGGGGGCAGTCACCGGACGAGCACCCGCGCCCTCCCACCGACACCACCTGCAGCCGGGCGACGTCTACCAAGCACCCGCCTCGCGCGCCGCCGCCTGCACCGATTTCCCGGGCCCTTAACTCCCGCAGCAGCGTGTCAACACACGAAGGCAAGCCGCAAAAGCGAACACAACACAAGCACATCAAGCACCGTCATTAGTGGGGTTGCAATTTGTATTCATAAGGAGCTAGAATGATGGCCTTTGATGGTAATCAGGACCGTGTGATGATGATTGGAGTTTTGGGGCGCGTCGACTGCTGTGGTCATTTTGCGCCCATATCAGAAAACTACCGAGATATGCAAAAAGCTGACCATCCTAGGTCTGTTAAAAATAGAAACAGCTGAGCCGTGGCAAGCCAGCAAAAATCATCGCCAATTATGTCCAGACAGGCAAGAGATAAACAATGCCGTTCGCAGTGAGGCAGCCGCTTTTCAGTGACCTGCGGCCAGGACTAAGTAACGTGGCAAACGGTGGGCAGCCCGTCGCGACAGGACCAGCCAGGCCTCTGTGCGTCGCACAGCAAGAGCCCGTGCGTCGCGTATGCGTGTGGCCAATACCCATACTGCTGGGGGTACTTCTTTAAGGCTTGCTCTGCGAGAGCCCGACGCCCACGGTCCCATCTGTGGCTTAATCGCTTTAAGCTTGCTGTTGGCTGTCTAATTTCAGCAGCGTTGTCAGATCCTTTTATCCAGGCCGTGATGGCTGGGTTCTTGGCCGGCAGTGATAAAAAGCGTGTGCAGAGTGCACGTACTGCCCGTTTTGCGGCCGCGTCGGCTAGCCCGTTACCTGCGACGCCCACGTGGCCCGGCATCAAACATAGCACAACGGCTCTATTTGCATGACACAACGATGTCAGACGACTTGTGTAACGGGGCACTGGGGGTATTGAGGACTAAAAGCTGCCAAAGCCTGAAGGCTGCTTAGTCAGACAAGATAAGACGCGAGTTGTCCTCGCTGACCGTTCCCACCATTCCTGAACTCGACCTCAACACCAGCGTCTGCCTCTAAGTTTTTGGCATCTCAGAACATTTCCCAAATCTGTCACACCCGCCTTGCCGCTGAAACGACCGGAAGGAGGCCAGGGGTCTCTCCTCACTGCAGAATCACTTTAACCCGCGATTACGCAGGTACTCCCCCCCCCCCCGCAAAGGAGACGGCAGCTTTTTGGGTTCGACAACCACGTCCTTTGCATGAGAATGTGGTTGTTAAAACGGCGCTGCGACTCTCCATCCACTCCGGGTCCAACTGGGGGACGGCCCGCTCACCCAGCGGGAGGCGGTACCGCCAGGGCTACCGCGATGCAGTATGGGGCGAACGACGCCTCCTACACGGCCAGGTGTGACCGGGGAGACCCCTCCCAGTCCTGGTCGTGGTTCAGCGCCGCCGCCTCTTGAACCCCTCGGCGCGGCGAGCTCGATAAACCCCAGGCACCAAACATGCTCTCATTCCCACCCGTCCGGCACCGCTCACGTGACCTGGGGGCCCACGCGCCACCAGCCCCATCAGCAGCACCCACCTGCTGCGCCACGAGTAGCCGAACTTGTCGTAGCCGAGCGGTGCGTTCAGGTTGGCGAGCGGCCCGGCCCAGCCGATGCGGCAGTGGGCGCCGTCCGGCTGCGCGCTGATGGTCGCCTCCCAGTACCAGGCGCCGCGGCGCACCGGGTGCGTGGCGCGCACCATGCAGTAACCCTTGTCGCCCGTCACCGAGAGCCGGTCGTCCGAGATCTTCAGACACTGCGCCCTGCCGCCGCGCCCGGCAGCGTCAGTGAAGCGGACCGAGCCGGCCAGCGGTGCCGTGCTGCCACCCGCGCGGGCGGCCGTGTGGGGGCGAGGCGGCCCAGGTGTGTGCCGTCGGTCACAAACTGCCGCCGTCAGTTTTAACACCAGAATTCGCAATAGCGTACGAAGTCCACCTGTGCCGAAGTTCGCACCGTTTGTCACAGCCCAACAAAACGTCCGAAAAGCGCACAACGCAGCACTGAAACTCAAGCCTACTCCTGTTTCAACGCAGCGTAGCGAGCTCCTAACGCAACCGCGCGCAAAGCTTAAAACTGTCATTCACTCCGGGCAATGCCAGGGCTCAGCCGTCGGCTCGGACACCCCTGACATCGAGCGGGAGGGCACGTACCTGTCGTGCAGAGCTAGCAGCACGGCGGACGGACACTGAGCCCGGTGCAGCCAGCCGGGAATGGGCCGCCCGCCGCTCTCCGACGACTCGTCAAACTCCTGTCTGCGGGCCGGTCGGCGGCGGCGGCGCGTCAGAGGGGCCGCCACGCTCGCGCCGCGGCAAGGGGTCACCACAACAGGGACGGCGCCGCGTCGGCTCCGAGAGGCGAGGCCAGGGCAGAGTAAGCGCACTATCCGTCAGGGTCATGGTGACGTGGAAGCGCCGACGCGACCGACACTTCGAGGCATTGTCAACGGTCGAACTCCAGAGCGTCGTCTCTCGCACAGGTCGGAACTCTGAACCTACTCACACAGCCGCCAGGGAGCCGGTGTACCGGACAGGCGAGGGGCACCACTTAACGCTGACCGTATAGCGTGTACTGCGCAAACGGCGTCGGGCGGTGCGTTTTGATGAATTGGGAGAGACACAGCTGACCAACTGCACATGGCGTCCGACTGGGTCAGGTCATTAGCGTGCCGGACGTCGGGGCAGCGCCAGCGCATGTGACACTTCCCGACGCCGTCCGACCAGGCCCGGCTCGGCGGGCAGCAGTCGGCCGCCCCGGCGCACCTGAACGGCGCGTGCGGGTCCGGCTCGGTCAGAATGTAGCGGTAGCCGTCCTTGTTGAACGGGTGGTCGAGCGGGTAGCCGTGCAGCTTCTGGACGGCGCCCTCGCTGCGTGTCTTCTTCGAGCCGGCCGACTGCTCCAGCACCTTGCGCTTGGGGCCGCGGGACTTGACGGCTGCAGTCGCCGACCGGCGCAGGTCAGGTCAGGTCAGGTCAGGGTCAGTCAGCCGCGGGGGGACGGAGGGGGGGGGGGCGGGGGACGGGGGACGGCAGCCGGCACCGCGCAGCGTCCACTAAAGCTAACAGAAGGGGCGCAGTACGGTTGCCCACCTGTAACATGCTAATAATACCGACCGGATATTAATTGTTGCCGCATACAATTCCCGCTAAATGACTGAAGAACACGCAAAAAATGAATTACATAGCCTTTCAAAACATTTACAGCCAAAATTCGCGAAATTACAAACACACCTCAGAACGAGCCCGTCCTCGGATGCACCCAGCACCAGCCTATACGTGGGAGCGCCTACCGTCTGCCTGGCGCTGCTTCAGCTGGTCGTAGCTGGGCCGGATGGCGGCCAGGTTCGTGTGGCGCAGGCCGTAGAGCGGGTGGCCGGCCGCCACGCTGCCGTCCGGCGCACTCTCCTCGCACCGGAACAGCGACGCCGAGTCCTTGGCCAGCGTGCGCTGGATCTGTCGGCGGCCGGGCGGCGGGCGACGTCAGACGGCGCGGCCGGGGCGCCGCCTCACGCCGAGACGTACACGCCGGGCGGCTGCAGCACCGCGGCCGCGGGACGCTGTGCGCAACCGTACGACAGGACGCGGCGGCATCGCTGCACTTAAAACAAAGCGTGCACAGCAGGATATCAGAATCGTGCAGTGCATTCTGCGGATGTGCCGCGACTAGCCCCCGCACTGAACCACAACCATGGCCATTTCCACCTTACAACACGAGGATACAACTGCAGCAATCCCGAGCTCCCCCCGCCCCACCACCAACCCCACGCGTGAGCTGGCATCCACTGTGGGTTCAACACCGGCGGCGCAGACCGGGCGCCAGCCGCCGGCGCCGTCCTCCGGCACGGCCCGACCCTGACCACGTCCGGGCCTTCCCCAACGTCGCCGCATCGACCGCTGGCTTACACACCGGGGGTGTGTTGGCCAACCGATCCGAGGGTCAGCTGAGACCAGCCACATTCGCTGCATACGTCGCCGACGAGCCAGCACGTTTCGTGCGGCGAGCGGGCCGGGTCGGCCGGCACGACGCTCGCAGCCGAGTCCCCGGCGCTCCGTACCGTCTGCTTCCAGCTCTGTGTAGTGCGGCGCGAAGCTCGCAGCCCAGCCCCCGGCGCCCCACACCGTCTGCTTCCAGCTCTGTGTAGTGCGGCGCGACGCTCGCAGCCGAGCCCCCGGCGCCCCGTACTGTCTGCTTCCAGCTCTGCGTAGTGCGGCGCGACGCTCGCAGCCCAGCCCCCGGCGCCCCGCACCGTCTGCTTCCAGCTCTGCGTAGTGCGGCGCGACGCTCGCAGCCGAGCCTCCGGCGCTCCGTACCGTCTGCTTCCAGCTCTGCGTAGTGCGGCGCGCCATGGTGGTCATGCCCTCCCAATGCATCTCGATCCAGGGCACAATGTCCTTGGTGAGCGAGAAGAGCACGCGGCCGTCCTCGCGCAGCGCCGCCTGCTGCAGGTTCGCCAGCGCCGTCACGCACATCTGGCTCGACTCTGCCGGCAGTGACACGGCGCGTCACTGGCGGGTCGCCCCGGGGCGGGGCAGAGCCGCCGGCAAACCGCGTCGGCTCTGGGCTGACAAACAGCCCGCCACCGAGCGATCTCTGGGCATAGAGCTTCCCGGGTCTGCGACGGTGGCGCTGGAGCAGCACCACCGTCGCAGACCCGGGGAGCGACGGGAAAGACAAGTCACAGAACACAATCGGACAGGTCAGATCACGACAGCACGCTGCATCGTCATGCCGGTAAGTGGGTGTGCGAGCATGCATGGCCAGCGTGCGCTGGATCTGCTGGATGGGGCTCGGATGCACCCTGCAGCATGCGTAGCACGCACTTCCCGGACAGCGAGAACACCGCCCGGCAGCGGAAAGAGTCGGCCGATGACGGCTCAGGCCGGCGCACGACACGGCCCCGCCGCCGGAGCCCGCCCACACTCACGCGCCTGGTGCTTCTTGAACTGCTCCAGCCCGGTGTTGGAGCAGTTGCGGCATGTGAATACGTAGTTGGAGAGGAACGGCACCAGCTTGCCCAGCTGGTAGGAGATACACGACTCGTGGTGGAACTGCAGGCAGTTGCTGCACTGTAGCTCCACGATGTTCAGGTTCCTGCCCTTACCACTGAAATACAGCAAGAGCTGCATGAGAAACGTGAGCTGTCAGCATTGCTTTGCATACGTCCCTGACTTGTCTGTGCTAGATCTTCGGTCACTCATTCTGGGCTTTACACGGCCGACTTCCCGCACGCCAACCACGAGAAAAGGCGATCAAGCAGCAGCCAGGGCAAGTCGAAACAACTGGCAGCTTGCCACGTTGCTGCTGTGGTAAGGAATCGGTCGATGGAGCGTAGCCCTCTTCACTTATGATTGGAGGTCACGAAAAATCTCGTCTGTACGAATGGTTTTGCCGCGTACGTCTATAGTCAGCGTCGGTGACGTTAAAAGTCAGAACAGGGAAAACGACAGCCGTAAGATGGAAGGTTAACTTCACATCGACCTCAGCCCGCGGCGTGAGCGAACGACAGCCGGTGGTCAGCCATATCACATCGTATCTGAAAACTGTCGCAAAACATTGGCACATCAGCCGCCGTAAACTAAAGCTTGAGCTGGGCTTTTGCAGTCCCTTAGCCCCGTAACACTTACTTCACACGGACCAGCACGCTTCACCGACGTTAAAGTTGCAGCTCAAAGCAGCAACCTTCGGGGCAGGAAACATGACAGAACGAAAAACTGACTGCGCCCCAAGCGATAAGAAAATCCACCGACTCTCTATATCTATATATTCTCCGAATAAATCATTTCTCATCATCGGAAAAACTGTTAAGAACGGAAGCTATCTTATTCTGTAATGTGTCAATGGTTCTACCAGTACCATCAGACAACATAGGCAAAACTACACATATCAATATACAAACATTCGTGGTCGCGCCGTTTCAAAACTGTATTGTTACTTTTCCGAAATATTGTGCACGATAGCATCTTTTCGTAAAACCAAATGGCTTTCTTGTGAGCAAGAGGAATGCAGAAATATAGTTTTGAACCGAAGCAAACACGAATGTTTTGTATGTTATTATGTGTAGTTGCGCCTGTGTCGTCTGATGATGCTGGACGAGCCAATGAAACGTTACAAAATGATATAGGTACACTTCTTGAGTTTTTCTGCTGATAACAAACGTAATTCGGAGTTTGATCTTTTTCTAAAAACACCATCAATGTTATATGTGTTGTCGTTTTGAATGGAACGCGCACGCAAGCACGCACGATGTTTGAGGTGAGCACCCGTTGATAACAGTCCGGTCAGACACGCGCCTGCCTCAGGCGGCTGAGGTTTCTTACATGATCAGTTCCCCTGGAACGGGGAACTCCCTGAGGTGCGTTTCCAGGAGGAATAAAGGGATGCTAATTAAGCAAATATCAAAACGGCTTTTCACGAACTGTTTTCTTATACAGACAACGAACAAGATGCGCTCCTTCTAGACATATTTCAGCTCTATTAAATCAAAAATAGCTAAAATCATCGTCGAAATACTCGGAAGCCAACTTGAATTGTCACTGATGGAAAACACTGCGACACATTCGATCCAACTCGACGATTTCGACAATGCTAACAAGCGATGCGAGCAATGCATTGGCTTCTAAATATCACACAGGGCGCATGAAACTGAGTCAAGTCCAAACATTACGCCAAAATTCTCGTAACTTGTCAAGCCCTGTGACATTTGTGATCCTTGTCGCCGCAATCTCACTCCCCAGTTGCAGCAGGCGATGGAGGAATGGCAGTCAGTTTGCCAGCCTATAGCCAGTCAGATGCCCTTGATATGGCTCACGATCACAGGCGCTCCAGACCACTGAGCTACGCCATTCTTACCAGGGAAGTTGGTTTACAACGAACATGCATCATGGAGGAATTGGAGGCCATCATATTTTTAAGATCACGGAAAGATAAAAGAGACCTATGCCAGCTTGTTCGCCTGATCCCGAATTTCGGTATGTCGGCTCCATTCATGACCATTAGTTGAAGGGAGTGTTACACATCTACATGGGGGAATACACTGAAATGGTCCTCCTGGAGACCTTTCGGTGTTGTTCACAGCCCTAGCCTTCATAAGACTTAAGCCCTCTAGTTTCTGAGCTATACGCTCGCGAAAATGGGGCTAGTCGTATGGGGGAGAGTACTTCACTCACCTTGGCATTCATGACATAATAACGTCATTCAAATCTTGTGATTCCATAAGCCACGCAGCGATTAAGGTCAGCAAAAATGCAACTGTCCAGGCGGTCATATCTGGCGTTCGTGGGCGCGATTTCCAGATGCAACGGCCGTCAGCTGGCTCTCAATCAATTTTGTGCATGGTACGGTGACGTAACCGAACCCCCACGCCCTGAAGAGCGTATCTACTTAACAGAAATTGCGCTGTCTAGAGCGGTCTTTTCCGCTCAAAACGTATACCAATAGTAATAAGTGAGCTTGTTTCATCACATCTGATGCTTGCTTCAATATCTCCAAATGTGAAACATTCCCTTTAACTTCATGAAAACGCCGCATTTCGGTGCTGTTTGAGATGCGGACGGCTGCCGTTCGCATTCTTGTGGCTTGGCTGGACACCAGACCCGAGCTTTTCAATGCGGCGAAGAAGGCTCTACATGATTCAACAGTTTCGACCAGAATTATACGTTAAAGCAGATGTCTTATATTTTCCTGGTGCCCTACCAAAGGTTAGATCAAGAACCATATCAAAATCAAGATCAGGCGTAAAGCTGCGGTTGTAGCCATAGTTGCACATACCATTACGGCAGTACGACCTGTTCCCACCTCTTGCGACACAAGTACACACACACACGCACGCACGCACGCACACACGCACGCACGCACGCACGCACGCACGCACGCACGCACGCCCCCCCCCCCACACGCACACATATAATCTATTTTTTACTATCATATATATATATATATATATATATATATATACATATACACACATATGTAGCGTGTCAGCGGACGCTGGATCCCGACCACAGTCACCGTGACAAAATCAACATCAACACCCAGATGCCACACAACCTCCAGCATCCAGAATCCAGCTGCCACACCGAACGACAGAGCACCGGAAGAGCAGCCCAGCCCAGGCCAGACCAGGCCTGGCGGGACCTGGTCTAGCCTGGCGCAGTACAGAAACCCCAGGCGCGGCTCCCCAGGGCCGGCAGGGTAAGGCTCCCCAGAGCCGGCGCAGCCATCTGTCGTCCTAATCACCAGCCGTGAGCGATGCCAACAGCGGCCAGCAGGGAAATAATGGTGCTCCAGGTAAGGCAGTACCCCGTATACATGTCCCCAACGACGGAGTCAGCGAGTAAATTGCCGTCCAAGGCCGGCATCAACGGCCACACCCGAAAACATTTGTGTACTGGGAGCTAACAAAGACTTCATAGACCGGCATCAACGGCCAAAACCTGAAAACATTTGTCTACTGGGAGCTAACAAAGATTAACGCAAACAGAAAGCGTGCGGTAACGTCCATTAGAGAACATTGTGAGGGACGCACTTGCCCCCGGGGTTCTCGCGGGCGACCCCATTGTAGGATTGATCGAGCCACCCGAACACGATGGAGACGCTAACCACGTGCCACCGTCCGCCCCAAACAAATCTGCATCATTAACCGAACGTGAGCGGAGGGCTCCACTCTCGCCGGGGGGCCGTTATAACGGAAGCAAGCGCTTGGCATCCAAAAGGCTGGCAACAACAAACGAACTATCGGCATTGTGATGCATTAAGGGTCTGTGTGTAACACGAAAACTCGTTACATTTTACTGGTATGCTTAGAAAAATGCATTTCATTATGGTCGGAGAAGGGTACCACTAACAAATCACTTCAAACTAGTAACAAGATGAAAAAGTTGCAGTCATTGCAGACATGCATAACATGAAATAAGTCACAAACGATAACAATGAGTAGAATTACCGAGCTGGAAAAATCTAGCAAAGCAATCCCCCAATTTATACTCGGAAGCCGATAAGTGACATACGCGTAATGCGAAACAAATATAGCACTATGCATCTGAAGAGGTCATAAAAAGCTTACCAGTAGCCGCATGTCGTGAACTCGTCTTTCTGATCTTGTTTATTTGATGCACTCTTCCCCGCTCCGTCGCCCGCCCCCTCCATTCCTGGTTTCATTGCGTGTAAACAACTGAAACAACAGTAATAAAGTAAATCAAAATACAGACCCCAAAAGCACAAGTACAAAGCAATTTGTGTGATGAAGGACATACATCTACAGCAGCCAGCAGACAACACAAACATCAGTGTAACCATGCTCCTGAACGTCCGGCAGTCGATGTGGATCGATCCACGCCCTCGCCATGACCTGTGCCTCACGGTCTGGCACAAGCCGCGCATCACTGAGCCAGGGCCCCAGTCATGAGCAGCCGTGCCACGCAGCAACAAGGCTAGGCCGAGTTCCATACGTGTCAGTGTCGGGACCTCTGTGTTGCTTGTCATAACATGCTATGCCTGTTATGTAAGTCTGCTGCACTCTGAACATGTTTGCTGATGATGTATAGCCAAATGCATGGCACCACCCCACGTTGTCTCTTCACAACTAAGGGACTGGTGACGTCATCCGGTCCAGAGAACCCAATGGCACGGTGAGCCACAGAGTGCTGCAGTGTTAACTCACAACCGTTCACAATTGGGGTTGTCCCCTGGAGCAGTGGTTCTCATCAAGCAAAACGTCTACTGGCAGGTCATCAAGCAGTCAAAGGTATCAGAGCTATCTCTCTAGCACAAAATCCAGGTCAGGAAACAATTCATACAAGCAGCATCCAGAAGGCCATTTTTGGCCTGTCAGAATTAAGCTTGCAATGAATCAACCAGATGTGTTAAAACCTGTCAAAAGAACTGTTTGCAGATGGATCAAATCATTTTTATGGATCACCCCCATCTCCATACAATTGCTTCTCATCTCATGCTCCAGTGGGCTAAGGCCTCACAGCACAACTTCTAATCATGAAAGCATGTCAGCCTGCCAACAGTTTTGCCCTAACCCAGCCAATGGACTACACATTAGGCTGTACAATATACATCACCATTCAACTTTCAGACTACAGTGGTGGCAGCTGCTGAAGCATCAGCAGGCATTCCTTGCTTGGAAGATGGTAAATGTCTTTGTTATGCATAGTTGCCCACCCCTGCACCCCATCCACCATCTTTCATCTTGTTCAAAGGGAGGCTGCAAACTGTGTTACTGTGTTCCAAGACAAGTTTACTGACAGTCTTGTGCAGCTAAGACAGGTCTCTCTCAATGTCACCAGCAAAATTGGCAGTGGAAGATCTCTGCTGAATGTAGATATTCTTTCACACCCAGACCAGCTTGAGTTTCAGGAGGCAAAAAGGCACTTTTTCCAACAGGGCCAACATTTTCACTTCAAATATTCTCTACAGTTGTAGGATAGATACCAGCTCGCTTCTTGAATTGTGATAAAAGTGTACCATCAGGCAAAAGCATGCTCATTAGTTAACGTGCTGCTGTCACTATATGGTATTGCCCTTCTTGCCTCTCACTGGCAAGAAAGGCAGACACCATAGGGAACCAGACCATTCACCTATGGGGTGCATTCAATTAGCAAACAATCTTGTTAAGTTATTCAGACTGGCATTGAGCATGCCAAATGTCAAAATGAAAAATTTTCCAGGATGACTTTCTGCACTGAGGGAGAACTCCTGAAACCTTTGGAGTCAATGGTCAAAACAGTAAATCTCTCTTATCATGCACTGCTATGACCACTGGTTGTGTGTGGTGTATGGAAGAAATCTGGGGGATTATTTCAGGACTCCAAATGTAAATAAAGAATCTATGAGTGATTATCATAGCTAATTATTGCATTAAAAAATTTCCTTGACTGAATGTGCCCCTGGTTTCCCCAAGGTGACTGAACTATTACACTACCTACAACTACTCAAGAGTTCTGAATCTCAGAATGGAATGCCTCAAGTTGGTGCTTCTCATTCAGCCACAAAGAAGGGGATTGTCAGCCAGCTTTGTATTTCTTTTTGCACCTTGCACTGTGCTGCAGTGCAACAGTTTCACAGCTTTATACTACATATCTTTACATTTCATAACAAAGAAGCTCAAGGTTATACCCAACCTGACTTTAGGAAAGGACCAAATGCCCAATATATTGGTTCAGCAGCATTAAAATAAACTTCTTAAATGTTTCAAATGAAAACAAATGATGGAACACAACTAAAAGAATGCCAGTTGTGCAGGGAAAGACAGACAAACAGGAAAAATGACAAAAAATACAAAACATTTCTGCAGGTATAGAGTAATTCTGAACTCATCACACTTAAATCTGACATCACATTCCAGGAAAATGATGCCTGTTACAATGCCTTTGCCCGTAAAATATGTTGAAAATGACGCCTGTTACAATGCCCATACCCATAATTATCATGTTAACATTGAAAGCGCCAACCTGAAACGAGTCTTGGCGCGTTCAAATATCGGTACAACTAGCCTTGACACGGTACAATTCCCAAGCACCGAGGAGATCCAACAGGCGGGGTGCAATACCGCAGTCCGGTCGTATTAGGGGCCGCAGTAGCTGACAGTGCTGTTCACCTCCGTCAACCACCCTACGCTCGGAGTGGATGGACCCAAGGCGATACAGCCCTACCGGGAATAACTGCCGATACAGCAGCCGTGGACATCACAAGTTTGCAACAAGGTTCTCTGTAAATAATCAGAACTTCAAAAGCGTTGTTTTGCATTAAGGCACCTACCGTGGCAAGCTGAGAAGCTCAAGCTTGCGCCTAAGATCGTTGGTAGACAAATAACTGCGAAGCTGATCAGCTTCTAGTTTCCACCAGCAGCCGTATGCGCTATTTCAGCAGATCAGCATTCAGCAGTAGGCTGATGGAAACAGTTATTATGATTCTCTTCACTAAAATGATTAAATGACGTCAATAAGACAAACTACACGCCACTTTTGCCGCAAGTGTACTGGGTTACACGCGTTTGGCGGCACGCGTGCGGTAGCCGTGTCCTCGTGGTATACATCGCGTTGCCCGTGGAGATGCGCTGTGGAGTGGGATATTGCATAGAGCATGTGTGTTAGGGTGGGTGACATTTCTGTATGGTCTAGTTTGCTTACACCTGGAATAATTCGGACGCATTTTGCGCCGGATTTGAAGGGGGCATTGTGGGGTTCCAATAGTGACGCTGCTTGGAATTACTCTGGAATGTGTAGGCCAGCCGGCTAAAGGTGGCGGCCAAGTCGACGGTATATTTGGGCAGGTCCTTCATCTGAAATTTGGTTTTGGCCATTGGGGAGTGAGAACAAATGTTAAAATAAGGGCTGAGTGATTGCAGCGAGAATAAAGTTGGAATAAAGTATCCCCATGAATTTGCACTGTGGGCATGACTGGCATTGTGGCACCTGCAGGTCCAATTCTGCCCCAAAGGGAGCAGGCTGCCTCTGCTGGGGCAGGGACTGGTGTTTGGATTGCTGTTGCTGCAAATTTTTCCTGGCGACACCATTTGCACCCGCTGACTGAGTAACCACCAATATCCTACTTGAGATGGATCAGAGCTACCTTTAATTTAACATCTATCATTTTACATTGCATCTTGACATTGAAAAATTCATAGTGTGCAAAAATGCATTAACATGTTTGCAATGGTAGCAGTGTCTTAGTGTATCACAGGTCCAGTTCTGCTGGGCTGATGCTGGCCTGTCTGGTGTGGCTGTGTATGACTAACTGCTTGTTTGGCAGAAGGAGAGGAAGCTGCTGTAAGCAAAATGTTTCATGCTTGCACAATACTGGTTGTCAGAGTGTTTTATTTAATTGGTGGATCTCTGGCTACAAGGGAGTTAGAAGAGTTAGTTCAATACCTGATCCTCATCCATGGGGGAATCTGATTTCTTTATGTACCTCCTTTGCTCAAAGCCTGCGGATTGTGGGAGGCCCCAGATTTTGTGTTTTGTATCTTTATGGCAGATTTGAATAAGGTGTGTAATGATGTTATCCATTTATCATGTAATGTGCAATTATATAATCTGTGCTCATAATCCATAAGACTAGTCATACCATCCTGGGAATGTATTCCTGCACCAGTGGCCAGCCTAAGCCCATGTACATCTGATCTGTGTGATAGTGTATGTCATTGATTATGGTATCAGCAATATTGTGTACTCTACTGTAACAAAGATGGTACTGTACATATAACTTACAGAAAATCTTGCTATGGTCACAACTCAAGGCACTTGTATTTGTTTCATAAGTTAAGACTGCAGTCAAACCAGATGTGCAATCCATATATATGCCTATATTGCATTATGATATTGAAAATTTTGTTTGAAATGCTTTCATGCATTCTAGTTTTTTTTATAGAATCATGGTCAGCAGGCCTTAACAAGGCATATTGGAACAACTGTCATGTGTCATTTTGTGGATGATGTTAATGTTTCATTGAAAATAGTTCAAAATGGGCAACTTCTGTAGGAAATACAAACATGAGCAAAATTTTGTCTCACTTGGAAGCACAACATGAATTCTGTCATTCCTCTTGCTGTTTCAGACCTGCTTGAATATGTGGTAGCTGGCATACCATGGCCTCAAGTGATGACACTGCTGGCAAGACCTGTCCTGATCTACTAAACATTGGCCAGGAGAGCTCTGGTGTCGAGTCGCTCCTTCTCCTGAAGAAGCCACCGCCAGCAGCCGAGCGCGCCACATTCCGCGTGCCGACCAGCTCGGTGCTGAGCCGCGTGCGCAGCTTCCTGCCGCGCATGCGCGAGGCCGAGGCCGAGCTGCAGCAGCGGGTGGCCACCGGCGGCGCCGACAGCGTCAGCATCGAGACGGACGACTCTGAGCGGCCGCACATTGAGATGAGCCTGGGCCTCTGCGAGCTGGACGCGGCCTCGAGCGACTCGGAGTCGGAGGGGTCAGCGAGCAGCGGCGCCGAGGAGGAGGACGCGCCTGTCGGCCCGGTCACGGCCGACAACTTGCGGCTGCCCGGCGCTGCAACGCGCCGGCTGGTGACGGAGGTGCCGCTGCCCGGCGACGGCCAGTGAGCGCCACGTCATGAGCGACTCCGAGAGCGATGGCGGCGCCGCCGCCGAGCCCGACCTGGAGACGCTGGCGCGGCGCGCGGCCGAGGCGCGCCTGCTGCGCCAGCTGGGCGGCAGCGGCGGCGGCGGCCGCTCCTCCGAGAGCGACGCCAGCGACGATCTGCGCGGTCCCGGCGACGTCGTCTGTCACGGTCAGTCTGGGCGCGGCGGCGTGCCCGCTGTCGGCCGCTGAGGTCAGACACACACACACACACTGTGTGTGACACAGACACACACACACACACGCTGTGTGTGACACAGACATACACACACACACACACTGTGTGTGTGTGTGTGTGTGTGTGTGTGTGTCTGTGTGTGTGTGTGTGTGTGCGTGTGCGTGTGCGTGTGCGTGTGTGTGTGTGGAGCTATTGTGCTAGGAGCACAGCTGTCGTGCTCGGGTGGTGGTGGTTGCCCGCGTGCGGCGCACGGCGCGTCGTCTCGATGTTGTCTCTCTCAGTATGTTTCGTCCGGTGCTGATGCCCGCACCGTTGCAGACTCGCCGCAGGAAGAGATGCTGGCGGCGGCGGAGAGTGGCGCGCTGGAGCGTGTCGACAGTCTGATCCAGCAGGATGCTGCGCTGGCCCATGCGCGCGACGCGGACGGGTACACGCCCCTGCACCGGGCCGCCTACAACGACCACGCCCAGGTGGCCGAGGTACGCGACGAGCTACGCGCGGGTTATCTATTCAGACGGCGCGCCACGTGTGGGAGTCATTGCGTAGTTGGAATTTCGGCCAGTGGCTTTCGCTCGTGCGCAATGTCTGCAGTCTCAGCTAACTGGCTCGCTGTGGCAATGAGGATGACCCCGTCCAGTGCGCGCTAATTTACCTTACGAAGCTGGGACCTCCTCAGAGCTTCTTGATAGCAAACGTGACTGTCTGGGCATATCCTGCGTGTCCGTCGTGAGCGTCTGGGTGGAGGGTATCCGGCCGTCGCCCCCACTGCGCCGTGCTCTCCCGTGAGCGTCTGGGCGGGGGAGGAGCATACTATTCCCTCCGCCGTGCTGTGCCGTGGGCATCTGGCGAGTCCGTCTGTCGTTCCCTCTGCCGCACTGTGCCGTGAGCATCTGGGGGTCCGTCTGTCGTTCCCTTCGCCGCGCTGTGCCGTGAGCATCTGGCGGGTCCGTCTGTCGTTCCCTCCGCCGCGCTGTGCCGTGAGCATCTGGCGGGTCCGTCTGTCGTCCCCTCCGCCGTGCCATGCCGCGAGCATCTGGCGGGTCCGTCTGCCGTTCCCTCCGCCGTGCTGTGCCGCGAGCATCTGGCGGGTCCGTCTGTTGTTCCCTCCGCCGTGCTGTGCCGCGAGCATCTGGCGGGTCCGTCTGTCGTCCCCTCCGCCGTGCCATGCCGCGAGCATCTGGCGGGTCCGTCTGTTGTTCCCTCCGCTGTGCTGTGTCGCGAGCATCTGGCGGGTCCGTCTGTTGTTTCTTCCGCCGTGCCGTGAGCATCTGGCGGGTCCGTCTGTCGTTCCCTCCGCCGTGCTGTGCCGTGAGCATCTGGCGGGTCCGTCTATCGTTCCCTCCGCCGTGCCATGCCGCGAGCATCTGGCGGGTCCGTCTGTTGTTCCCTCCGCTGTGCTGTGTCGCGAGCATCTGGCGGGTCCGTCTGTTGTTCCTTCCGCCGTGCCACGCCGCGAGCATCTGGCGGGTCCGTCTGTCGTTCCCTCCGCCGTGCTGTGCCGCGAGCATCTGGCGGGCCCGTCTGTTGTTCCCACCGCCGTGCTGTGCCGCGAGCATCTGGCGGGTCCGTCTGTTGTTTCTTCCGCCGTGCTGCGCCGTGAGCATCTGGCGGGTCCGTCTGTCGTTCCCTCCGCCGTGCTATGCCACGAGCGTCTGGCGCGCTGACTGGCGCCGCCGCGGGCCGCAGCGGCTGCTGGCGGCCGGAGCCGACGTGGCGGCGCGCACCGGCGAGGGCTGGACGCCGCTGCACTCGGCCGCCCGCTGGAACTCGGTGGCCTGCCTGCAGCTGCTGCTGCTGCACGGCGCGGACGTCAACGCCGTGACGGATGGAGGTGGGCCACTCGCCAGATGCGCCGCCGGTCCGGCCGACGAAACGTCTCCATTGCCTGTGTAGTATCTGAAAGCTTCGTTGCGGTACACTTGACCGTGATGCGGTAGCGCGGTTGTTCTTGAGCGGTTGGAATGAAAGGAGTGATATGGCTTCGACGTTTGTGAGCGAGTCGCAATTTTAGATTTGTGAGTTTTAAATGTCCTGAAGTCTGACGCCCGTCCATAATTTCCCCCCCCCCCCCCCCCCCAATCTACCACCCGTCCGTTGTCCTCCCCACACATCTGCCGCTCGTCCGTTGTCCTCCCAGACTTGACATCTGTCTGCTGTTGTCGGCAGGCCTAACGGCGCTGATGGTGGCGGCGTCGAGCGCGGACGCACGTGACGCCTGTTTCCTGCTGCTCACCACGCCCGGCGTCCGCCTGGAGCTGACCAACGGCAGCGGCGACACGGCCGCCGCCATCGCGCGCCGCTCGGCCGCCATCGAGCCGCTGTTCGAGATCACCGAGCCTTACATGACCGACATCTGAGCCCCGTCACCGACGCGCCGCTCGGCCGCCATCGAGCCGCTGTTCGAGATCACCGAGCCTTACATGACCGACATCTGAGCCCCGCCATCGCGCGCCGCTCGGCCGCCATCGAGCCGCTGTTCGAGATCACCGAGCCTTACATGACCGACATCTGAGCCCCGTCGCCGACGCGCCGCCAACGCCGGGCGTATGACGCGCCGTCAGAGCTGAACAGACCAGACCGCGGGCGAGAGGCAGCGCCGCTGGCGAACGGAGGCGGTGCGGACGAGCTGCTCTCAAGTAAGACGGGTCAGTCGGCCCGGTCACGCTGGTGACCGGCCGCGACAGAGGCTGACCAGTCCACCGCCAGGGCGCCGGGCGGCGTGGCTGCTCCGCGCCCTGGCCATCGGTCACGCTGCCGCGTGATCTCGGCCTTGCGGTGAGTCGACCTGTGTGTTCTAGGAAGGCGTGTCGGATCCCCCCCCCCCCCCCCGCCCACCGGCCGGAGGGGGCCTGGCAGCACGACGCTTGCTGCCGGCGGACTGAAGTGATACGGCTATCCGTGTTGATTTGGTGTTCCATCCGCGAGGTGTGTGTCCGCTGCGGTGTATGTTGCGATGCTGCTTCGCACGTTTTCCATGAGTCGCAATACAACTTCCGAAGCCCGCCCAATCTTTCACGGAGCGCTTAACTGCATCAGCGTCACGCAAGCCCTTGGCTAGCACACGTATCCTTGACGTCACTGGGGGCATTGCCACTCAAATCATACTACCGGTGGAGCACGCCGTGGGCGTTGTCAGGAGCCTTTTCCGCTGCCGGGGGTGGGCGGCGCTCATGCTTAGCGGAGCATCTACTGACTGCGTGTAAGGTACGTTCGCAAGCTTGAGGTTTACGAGGTCGTCCATGTTTGCGTACCGAAATTCGGGTTTGCAACGAGCGTAAAAGCCCTGTGCTGTATCTGGAGCGGAGACAGGAGTCCACTCGCCATACCAGCTGCGCCGGTATGACTGTATGTATGGCTGCATGTATGTAAACATGCCGGCTGTATGCCGAGTGTTGAGCTGGCCTCGCCAACGATTTGGAATGCGGAGAAGTGAGACTGTTTTGAGACAGACACATAGTTCCCTGTTATAAATGTATTCATATCACATCTAAGCGGCAAACCCGGTCTGCCCGGCATGCCAATGGCTGTGCAAAGACGATGATAATCGGAACAGTCAATAGCCAGTCATGAAGATCAACGAGGAAAAGCGAGGGATTAGTTGCTCGGAACCAACAAACCAACGGCGATCGATTCGTATGGAATGCCTAAACGGGGTGAACGCAACGCTGTGTCGGAGTGGCATGACATCCAACTATATCAACCATAAAATCAAGTATCCAAACACAATGTGGCACCAACGTACTAGGTATGTTGTACCGATACGAGTAAATAACGGCACCATTGAGCACTGAGCAGTAACTAAGGCTTCGCCTAAAACAACGGACAAAACAAAAACAGAGTACAGCTAATGTGGACCGGGCGAAGCGCGGCCCATCGGTCGGCGGCGGAGCCCATTTGATACAACGGACGGCGCAGCGGAGACAATCCACCACGACACCGCTGCAAGGTCATGGGTAATTCCATATCGGAACTAATACCTACACCTGATAGAAATAGAACTAATCGCGTGTCTTTCGAACACTTGTGGAACAACATGCGAGGGAACTAGAATACTTGAAACTTGAAAATGGCCTGGGAGTGATGTTTGCTTTCATGAACAGCAATATTCAGTGAGTCGAGCGTAGTAAACAAAAACGCACTGCATGCAACCATTCCAAGGGCTATTTACCAAACATGGACTGTTACGCAAGATAAATTGAAATGACGCAAACGGCAGCATTTGGTACGTTATAGACGTCGAGTTCAACCAGAAAGCAATGTGAACTGCTTCGATCAATTTATATCGTCTTCTTTCTATAATCATCAGCGCACCTCATACGAACTAATTCGGAAAAACAGGACCCTGCAACTCACCGTTTTAACAAACTTTCATGTCGTTTAATTCAAAACCTTTCCGCAAATCGCAGCAAACGCTACCTCGGTTGGCTTTCAGCACGGTTTGTGAACAAATCGTTACCTCATAACATTAAACTAATGTTGCTAAGGGCATTCACGCCTGCAAATAAACACCGAGCCCATTCTAAAGGTGCAGTCGGCTGGGGGAATCTACGCTGAATCTTACGGTCCCGAACCAATTGCGACTCGTATAGAAGACTTTGAGGTCACAGCGTACGCCCCACAACAACTAAACAACACATATCACAGTCATACGAACCATGACATGCTAATGCATGCTTATTAAATGCAGAGTATGTACAAATACAGCGCCTCCGACCCTGCCCGATCACAGACCACCAGCGGGCCCGCAGTCAGCTAAAGCCCTATGTGAGCTATCAATGTAGAAACGCTACGCCCCGGTCTACTGGCAACCACCGACGGAACACGCCACGTCAATCCACGCCGGCGCGCCACCGCATACTCCGCTGCCGCAGACACCCTCGGCGGCACCGGGTCACCACTGACACCCCGGGCGGCACCGGGTCACCACTGACACCCCAGGTGGCACCAGTCACCACTGGCACCCCAGGCAGCACCGGTCATCACTGACACCCCAGACAGCACCAGGTCGCCAATGACACCCCAGGCAGCACCGGATCATCACTGACACCCCAGGCCGCACCGGGTCACCGCCGACACCCCAGGCACCACCGGGTCACCACTGGCACCCCAGACAGCACCAGGTCACTACTGGCACCCCAGGCAGCACCAGGTCACCACTGACGCCCCAGGCAGCACTGGGTCACCACTGACACCCCAGATCGCCACTGGCACCACAGGCCACACCGGATCATCACTGACACCCCAGGCTACACCAGGTCACCACTGACACCTGAGACACCCCAGGCAGCACCGGGTCACCACTGAAACCCCAGGCAGCATCAGGTCACCACTGACGCCCCAGGCAGCACTGGGTCGCCACTGACACCCCAGGCAGCAGTGGGTCACCACTGACACCTCAGGTCACACCAGGTCACCACTGTCACTCTAGGCAGCACTGGGTCACCACTGACACCCCAGGCAGCACAAGGTCACGACTGACAACCCAGACAGCACCAGGTCACCAACGACACCCTGAGCCAGCACCAGGGCACCACTGACACCCCAGGCCGCACCAGGTCATCACTGGCACCCCAGACAGCACCAGATCAGGAGGCAGCACCGCTGACGCTCCCGGTTCCGTCTGGCCCGGGCTGGCAGTGGCAGTCGGTCACCGGAGCCGGCCGTGCCTCGCTCCAGGGCGTCGGGACCGGGTTGAGTGGCTCACGAGCCGAACTGGTCCGTGCCGTCAGTGATGGGCTTGAACACGAAGGCGCCGCGCCCGTCCATCTGCAGGTAGTACTGAGACGAAAACGGCTACGGTCAGCAATATGCCACTAATTTCTGCGACAGAACAGGAGGAGCTTCCGCCTCGTCGGAAGACCGACCTGCGATATGGAGCGGGAGTGAGAATACAAAAGGGACATATAGAAAATAACGAAAGAAGCAGAAAAGGAGAAAACAGCGACGCGTTAGTCTGGTCCAAACTGCACGTTCAGCGCAAACTGATCAGCAATTTCATAATCAAATTCAACACCACTACGTACTCAATCTCCTAGACATGCGTAATGTCAATCAGAACAATGGTAAAATTGCGGAGCACAACCTATTAATCCCTGCCGATCTTTGGTACAGTAAGTCGTTGATTCGGCGGTTAGCACTCCCCCACCCGGAGGGGCCCGTCCGCCTGGCCCGGCGGCGGACGGCGCCGGCGCGCCGGCTCACCTCGTGGTGCACCCAGAGCGACTTGCGGTGCGACACGGTGAAGAGGGTGATGCCCTGCTCGCGGCAGTAGCGGTACATGGAGCCCTCCACGTCCACGCTCACCGCCGACGTGCACTCGTCCAGAATGGCAAACTGCGGTCGGTGGTAGAAGAGGCGCGCCATCTGTCGACAGGCCGGGCAGTGAGTGGCGTTGGATTTCACCACAAGCGGCGCTGTCGCCGACAAGACGCCTGGCACGGCGCAAAACGCAAGGCATTAGCGCATTGACAGCCTGGGACGCGGAGGCGCGCCTACAGCCAGTTTTACAATGAGGACGATCCATGTCCGACACAGATCCCGGTGCACACCACGTGGGTGGCCCGTGTCGCCGGAGCTCCTCACTCACCGCCACGCGCTGCTTCTCGCCACCGCTGAGCACGTCCGACCAGTCGGCGACGGCGTCCCAGCCGCTCTCGCGCTCGTGGATGTAGCCGAGCTGCACCTCCTCCAGCAGCTGGAGCAGCCAATCGTCGGAGCGGCCGCGCGCGCGCAAGGCCTCCACCGTGTCTGGGTAGATCACCTGCGGCGGCGCGAGGAGCGGCTGTCAGTGGCGGGGCGGGGCGGGGCGGGGCGGGGCAGGCAGGCAGGCAGCACCGGCAAAAGGAGGCGGACGAGATATTACAGGTGACAAGGGTAGGGTACAAACCGCTGAAAACGGGACCGAAGCAGACGCCACTGATGCCGGCGACGACGGTGGCAATGGATGCTCTGCGGACGTCTGGGACGCAGAGGCTGATGGACAGAAGTCAAGGGTGACGGGGACCAGCCGGCCAGCGGCGGGCCAGAGCAGCAGCCTCGCCGCCCCGCTCCACCGCTGCGGCGCCGGGGACTCGGCAACGAACCGACGCCAGCTCCAACAGCGGCTGACGGTGATGAGTCCCGCCTTCTTGAAGACGGGACTCGCACCGATTCGACAGACACAAGCAGCGCGGCAGCGGCGGAAGCTGGCCCGGCCGGGCGACGGGACGCCGGCCCCGCGTCGGCGAGGGACGCACCTGATCTCGCAGCGTACCCAGCGTCATGTACGGCCGCTGCGGGATGTAGAACAGCTGGCTCCTGTCCGGCTTGGTGAGGGTGCCGCCGAACACCGGCCACAGCTGCGGAGGGCCGAGCAAGTGATGCACCGGACGCAGTCACACTGATCACGACGGCACACTTGACAGCAGTACCAGCGTGGCACAGTACGGCAATATGGACAGGTTGATGGCAGCAGTGGATGCAAGTTTAAACTGCTACATACCGAGCAGTTCGAATGCGTCTTCAAATGCGTTATGTATCGCTTCAAAGGGGCCAGTGGCCGCAGGCGACACGGGCGCAACACGCACATCGAGATATCGTCATCGAACATCAACTATGAAATTGAACGTCCTTGGGTCCATGAATATCAGGTAGGAAAGACCGACAGACCTCTCCGAGGATGCGGAAGAGGGAGCTCTTGCCGCAGCCGTTGGGGCCGCACACCAGCACGTTCATGCCGGAGCGGACCTCGAAGTTGAGCTCCTCCACCAGCACGTCGCCGTTGGGCGTCACCAGCGGCACGTGCTCGAACCTGCCGTCGCGCCCGACCACCCGGTCAGTGCAGGTCAGGGGTGTCACGGCAAGAGGCCACCCGGACACAAGCCACAATTGCAATAATGATACAAGGCATCAGCAATGCATTAAGCATCATGCTGATACCTGCTGCAAACATATTCCCAGACAGAACGAAAGTTAGGTTCGTAAGGTCCCAGACCGAACAAACGGAACGTTCAATCACCGCAAGTGAATTTATGTCGTCGACAGCTGCGGTCGACGACTCTGTGCGGACCACCGTGAAGCCGCGGCGCACCGCGGCGCGTCACCCTCGGCCGCGCGGGCGCCACGCCAGGGCCCGGCTGGCGGACTGCTGTCAGCAGCCGGCGGGCCGGCCACCTACCGAATCAGGTGGTCCTGCAGCACCACCCGGCCCGCCTTCGGGTCCAGCGCCATGACCGGCCGCGCCAGGCTGCTCGACGACGACGAGGGCTTGAGGCCTGCCGACGGCCGCCGTGGCGCCCGGTCAGCTCCAGCGCACGCGCTCCGCGACGCGCTCACAGGGAAGGGGACGAACCCAGCACCGGCCCGGGCCGCACGCCGGGAATCCGGCGGCGCGCATCGCAGCAATAAACAATTCACTACCCACCGGCATCGCAAATACTACACTAAACCGTGCCCCAGTGCCAAAATAAAACTGTCAACATAACGAAAAATGCTATCTATATCGCACCCGTAAAACCGCGAACACAGACAGAGCTAGACTGCCACCATATGAAGTGTGGCCGGACAGTCAGCCTGGCGCCACAGGCCTCTTCGGCGCCGCGTCCGCTCCTGGTCTCGTACCGTTGACAGCCGTCTGCGGCGTCAGCATGGTGCGCTCGTAGTGACCCTTGTTGAGGTCGTTCAGCACCTCCAGCAGCTTGGAGATGCGCACGGTGAAGCCGGAGAGCCGGGTCATCTCGCGGCCGGCCAGCACCAGGCGGCCGATGCTCTCCGCCAGCCGCACCATCATGCGGCCGTTCTCGTAGTAGCGCTGTGCGCACGCACACGTCGACGTCACGGCTACCGTCACAGCCAGACACAGGTGGTCTCGCGCGGCCGCTGCGCGCACAGGCGCGGGCCGTCGCCAGACACTTTCCATCGTGCGTTGCTAATGACGGGCTTCGTCACCGGAGTCTTTATCATACCAACTCCGCATATACAGTCATCGTTTATGTTTATGTTTATGTTATCATCGTTCACCAGTCACGTTTATGCCATTCGGCTACATTACCGGAGATTCTCAATGACGTTCAGAATAAACCGTACATTCCTTCATTTTGTGAGTGATAGCGACATCCACGCCATTTAGTGTAACAGACATGGCCTGAGTTGGACCGGACCGTCGTTCCGCACCTGCTGTCGTTCGCCGGTGGTGAGGAGTGCCATCGGCCCGACGGAGCTCAGGAACGGCAGGCTGACAGAGAAGAAGCCGACCAGAGTGGCCAGGTCTGCGGCACAGACGAATCGCCACCGCGCTGTCACCATGGAAACCGCGCTCCACACTGCTCAGCGTCAAGACGACTGTCGACCTTCACTACTGAGCTTGGCAACTGAATGCAAGCCAATCGGGTTTTCAGTCCGCGGTGACTGCATAGCTGGCTCATGGAGTTTCAACTGGTAGCTCACAAGCACATGCTGGCCATTTACTTCGCAAACGTCCGAACTGCTGTCCAGATGCGGGCCAGCAGAGCAGCTATGTGGCTAACCGGGGCTCAGACAGCTCCGCGGCAGCCACGATGCGACGGAGGGCGGCGTCGACGGCCGCTCCGGCACTCACATTTGGCGATGATGTTGTCGACGAAGCCGATCGAGAACTTAAAGTGCAGCAGCGTCTTCATGTGGTCAACCTAAGAATACCCAACATGCGTCAACTGTGCGGGAAAAAGGCAAAATGACGACAGTACACTACAGGCTCTAACGTGCGGGACTCATTCTCACTCCATCCACTTTGGTAGTCTCGAGGAAGCACAAACTCAAAGACACAGTAATAACTCAACTCAAACACATCGCAATCATTTTCAGCAGCAAGCGACGCAACTGCACGCTGATTACGTATGAGCGAGTAAAACCACAACATGGATCTTTTTTAACAAAGCTGTATGCCAAAGAACAACATGTTTTGAATGTTCCATGCTCACTCCTTGATGGTTATGAAGCCGACGGGCAGCAGCAGGTTAGTCAGGAACAGCTCTCAATGTGATTTAGGACACACAACATCATATTCGTATCGCCTTGCGTGAGCGGTTTGCGGCGGAATTATCAACGCATTCTCGTCAGACTGCCCGGAAACTCATGCCGCTAAACAGCGACAAGAAATTTCAATTCATAAACGAACGAGGCACCTAGAGCGCATTTTTGAATGGTTGCGAAGAGACCCTCAATGAACACAGAGCAACTTGCGAACGGACGCAGTGGGGACATAGTCATCTCTTCTGCGCCCAGTCCCGTTCCATCGCTCTTTTAAGGCAACGATATCTAAAAAATCTAGCCAAAGAAATACCCGTATCAGACGCAAAGATCCATTACATTCACGCACCAGCTTGTTGAATTCACTATTCAAGGTGACCTTCTCTCGTTGACTTCCTTGATAAAAAGCCACCTCTTCACAATTCGTGATCAGCCTGAAACGAGGCAACGTAAACCGCTATCAATAAACCAACCCGGCCAAGCATCGGTGGCTCACCAAAACCCGTCACACGTCGCGCAAGTTTCTAAAGACAATCACGATATCAACATACTATTGGTCGATAGATCCGTCGACCGTGGTTGCCACTGATATCGTTAAATCATTGCTCTAGCTGCATGGCCTATAGCAGTCGATGTGCCCTAAAAACCCCCAAATCACTGCTCTAGACGTTGCCACGCTGCCACCGCATGCGAAACACGCAGCAGTAACCAGCAAGACGAGGTGAACAAGGCGGCAGCGGTTGGGCTCAACGGTGTCCCTCCCAGAACGCGACCGCGGCCGTCACTCCAGCGGCGCGCGGAGGTCACGGCGGTGACGTGAGAGGTGACATCGACAGTGTACCGGCCGAGAGGACGGGCCTCTACTGCGAGCGTCACCGCTGCAGGACGCTGGGCTCACCTGGAGTTGACGAAGCGGTACTCGCCCTCCAGCTTCTGCTCTTTGACGGTCATGGAGCCAACGGGCCGGCGCAAGTTGGTCAGGAACAGGCCCGACACCACCAGATACGCGATCATGTACAGCGGCACCTGGCGGCCACGGCGGCCTCGTCAGCCGAAGCTCCGTGTGGTATCGTGAGAGACTACCGGACCATTCAGCTGGCGAAACATACCGATTTGTGGGGAAAGGGGGGAGGCACATAAAAGTGCTTCAGACGCTATGATTCGTGTGGCGTTAACAAAGCAGAAATGACTAGGGGATGAGCAAAAAGAAAACGCTAGCGTGGCTGAATTTCCGCTTGACGGCGAAAGATATGGTAACCAGCGCCTCGCCGATCCTCTCCAGTGTGAACGGGACGGCTAAAGCTCGTGGACACCGTGCTGGATAGAGGCCGAGGTGCTGCGGGCCAGCTATGTGCTGCCAGCTGCGGTGTCATTCCTCCACAACTGGCTACAGGAACCAGACAAATATAGCGCCATGGAGAGCAGCATTATGGTCACAACGGCGACTGACTTTTTAACAGTTGGGGGTGGACAGGCATGGGTTGTGTGACTTGACGCCTTGCAATTTCCTTTTACCTGCGCCCACTCCGATACATCGCGCCGCGCGGTTATCTATGCAAAGACGCTGATCGCCGCGTGGCGTGCATCGCCAGCGAGGGCGAGCGGGCCGCGTGCGGCGGCACCCTCGCCACCCACCTCGCGACCCAGGCGGGCCGACAGCCGCTGCACGTAGAGGAAGATGTCCAGCACGGGTTTGGACAGGTTGGAGTAGAGGTCGACCAGGCCCTGGCAGAACTGGTTCACGTCGTTGGTCAGCAGGTGGTCGGCGTTCTGGATGCGGTTGTCCAGATTGTTCATCTGGTAGAATGTGTAGCCTCTGCGAATGGTGTTTAAAACATGGTAATACTGAGCTGGGGTCTCAGAAGAAGACGCAATGCACCAGCAATCTCGACTCCGATTGATATCATGCGTGCAATCGTGAAAGCAAATCACATTGAGGTAAGTACATGGAACTCTAGCCTCTTCCCGGAATTCGTGGTCAAGCATCGAATACACCCGCCACCAGCGCTCAACCAGGCGCGCCCGCGGCGGCGGCATCCCCAACTCTTACTTCATGTACTGGTCGTACAGATGGCGGGTAAGTCGCACGCGCAGGTTCAGCTGCAGCTGGTTGAGGCTGTACTTGAGCAGGTTGTTGACCAGAGACACGATGGGCATCATACGGGTGTAGTCCCAGGCGTGCGTCAAGAAGCCAGACCGGTTCCGCTGGATCAGCGAGCTGCCCGTGGAACGGGCCGCGCCAACCGTCACTGTCAGCCGTCACCAGCAACAACGGCCGCGCCATCCCCCAAACTCACCTGTTCAGTACACTTTATGAGCTGTGTCCTAGTAATTTCAAAGTTGCAAAATTCGCAACGTGCACGTCTGGTTCACATACGGAAGCGTATGGTAACATGATTACGGCGATACGGCTACGATTAGGGCCAGAGTGCGATCCATGAGAGCGTACACAGCATTACCTCGTCAGTCATACCACGCTGACATGCCAAGACTGCCCTGAACGACAAAGACACGTCGCAGCCAGATACTGTGAGACCTTGTAATAAAAATAGTCAGAGTCAGAAACAAGTTATCAGTGTTATAATCATCGGCGATAAATTATTTAACCAATGCATATGACCAGATGCATTATTTAAACGATTTCCCATCAGTTAATATGACATCGATAAACGATTAGTTATCAAACACCCAATGATACCTACTACCGAGAAAACTCGACATTTCATGGTAGAGCTCATGGTCACTCCTGAACAGTGGCGTTTTCAAGGAAAACACGTGTCTATGGGAACTAAAATCGGCGCTTCTGCGTGGCATTTGTTTTTATTTCGCGTGCCCACGGCGCATTTTCTACTTCATTTTGGCTGGATTCCACCCGGAATGGGAAGCCCTTCCCGTGAACATGAACGCTGCCTTTCAACAAGCTTTCTTATCAAACACATCAATGATTGCTTGATAGCGCTTTGAACGTTGACAACACCCGCTGGCATACTGTATGTCGTTAATTTTAACCATCACAAATCATACAGCCGAAAATCCAAGGGCTGACGGCCCTTCTTGTTGACATTCATTAACGTCCGCTGCGTTCGCCAGAGTAAGGAAAGCGCGACGAGCCACGCCAGCTATGTTCGCGAGGCCAGACAGCCTTCGCGTCGGTGTGCTGACGCTATCAGCGCGACCGGAGTCAGGCCCGGGCGCCGTTACGTAAGAGGCGTGCCCGGTGCCAAGACTCGGCGCTGGGAACACCCGGGAGCAGGCACGCCACCGCTGACAGGAGCGGCAGCGAGGGGCGGGGGGGGGGAAGAGAGGAATGTGAGCGGATGAGCCCATCAGATATCAGGTGCGATCGTGGCAATCACCGGCAGGACGGCAGGGAGAGGGATATGGCAGGAGAAGGGAGCACGGCAGGAGAGCGGAGAGGGAGCAGACGAAAATTCAGGTGAGCAGAAATATTGGAAGGGTGTACAACGCAAGAGCAGATGGACACTGGAGAAACCGGAGGCGAGAATCGTGGATGGAGAGCAGGGGGTGTGCCAACAGGAATGGAGCCGGCGGCAGGGCTCGGACGGAGACCAGGTGGCAGAGCTGCAAGTACGGCACAAGCCGACACCAGCGGCCCAGCCAGTCGCGTGACACCCACCTCTCGATCATGGTGCCGTTGCGGATCAGCCAGACGTCGCAGGCGGTGCGCGCCACCAGCACGGCGGCCACCAGCAGGACGTAGCCGACGGGCGCGCAGAACGGCGTCGGGATCAGGATGGCCAGCAGCCGGCGCAGACGGCCGAAGAACTTGGCATCCACGGCCGCCCGCTCCTTCTTGGCGCCCGGCTGCGTCTGGGACGGCACGTGTCAGTACCACGCACGCACGCGCCGCGTGCACTCGTGGCTCGGGGCGCCAGCAGGCTCCTCCATGTACCGTCCCACAAAGACAACTTTAGCACAAAACGCCAATGATCAAGGCAGTTGATGCGCCCTCAAACTCCCATAACTGATTAACCGGAACAAAACGTCACGTAACCTCAATACGAGTCTGTTTACAAATGAGGAGCATTTGTATATTCAAATGCTCTTTTCGAGTTGGTTGCTTTGGAAAATGTAATCTGTCGCCAACCTAAAACATTTCAGTTCAACAAGCGCAGTTTAAAATAGCCCATACCACTCATACCAAGTAATAAATTGATGTGGTTACACATAAATTATTCACATATTTCACCCTGGGAATTCGTGAGTGTTCAAAACATATCCACGCCATCGGAATTCACGAGCAATCAAAACATACACAAACAGGTGAGTGTCGAAAAACGAAAATGATAACTACCCTCACGCATACTTGCTAAAGGAAACTCCGGGCTCGCAAAACGCGCGCAGGCAGGACCTGCGCTTTGAGAGAAACGTGATTTTCTACAAGGCGCAAAATTAATTAATATGTGTGTGTCATTAGGGCTTTACGCCTCCCTCAGCTCCTGAGGCTATATGGCGTCGCCTGCCTCTCACCCTGACAGTAAGGGCGGGCACCGCGGGCAATCAAACCCGTACCTCTGGTTTCCCAGACGCGCAGGGGTTAATGCAGACGCGTTAACCACTACACTACCGGCACCCCTAATTAGTCAATGTGCATAAATAAAACAGACAATAACACTAATGAAACCCCATGACGGCTCTGTGGCCGTCGCAGGCAAACGTCACCTGGCTGTCGTGGTAATACATCCGTCACCCAGCTTGCTTACTGGATGCGACTGCTAGTGACGACAGGTGCTTTGAGAGCGAAACAATGTCCTCTGTTGCATTGCCTTCCCCATAGCAGATGTGTTGTCTGCATATTAACTAATTCGGCGCCTTGTATGGAAGTGCCCTGGCATAACCAGTACGATATTCATTTTTCGAAGTGCTTTTCAGCAATCGTACATAACGGTAGTTCTATTATTTTTCATCGCGGTGATCTGTTTGCCTGTATTCTGACCGTCGACGGAGTCCTTGGGCGAAATACTACATTGTAAATTATAGCGCACGTAGTGTTATGCCTAGAATGTGGACATTTGTGATCATTCACCATTTTTAGCTATCCTGTTGTAACAAAGAGCCTCAGTCCCCCCTCCGCCCCCCCCCCCCCCCCCCCACCTGCTGGTCTTGTGTCAGCATTTCGCCCTTTCTATTTATGCGTGTGTGGAACATTTAGTGGCGTTGGTTGTAGCAGCATTTCCATTGTGTTAACGAAAGAAAGAACTGGCTTTGGGATTACTTTGTTCATAAAAACATCGGCAGTCTGTAGGCTAATGAACAATTAGTAGACTGCGCACGATTGCATTATTTTATGGACCCTGGCGCAGCAGGCGCGAGGGCTTGCTCGGGCCCGTTACCTAAGTTGGCTGTCGCCCGAAGCACGCAGCACGAGAGATCTGAACGACGTCTCGAGACCACGAGTTCAGCGCGCTCAGGCCGATAGCTCGCCATGTGGTTAACGTATCCCATTTTCTAGTCGCTGATGGTGTGAGACAGTGTGGCGTGTTCCACACATCCAAGGAGGTGGCATTTACGCTTCGCATCTCCCATCAAAAGCCATTCATTCTGCAAGTTGCGACCACCGGCATTTGTTCCCGCACGATAAGAACGGCGCTCGATCGGGGATGTTTGTTCCCGTAACATGTCCTTGGAACACCGTTAAGACACCTGTTGAGACACGCTCGTAAAGAGAATGCTTGTGCAACCGGTCGCCGACCATCCTTGAGATGCGCTAAAATGAACACTCCGCCAGACCTGGCGACTTAACCGGAGATGCGGGACTTCGTCGCCTCGGCACCCGCACAAAATCACCGCCGACCACTTTTGGACAGAAGAACGGTGTGTGGCTGCCGCCGGCCGGACTTCGCCAGCAATAGGAAATGTTAGCGCTTCTGTCGAATGCACGCAACGCTGCCGACACCAGAGTGGTACTCAACGCATCTAGACTGGCGCTAGAACGGTGCCGGTAACATATTTGTGTTACAGCTAATGCATACCTACTTTGACCGTGATATTCTGCTGGCCGTCCCGCCACTCGGATGGCAATAAAACATGTCACCTCGCCTGCAGCCGACAGCCGCCGGTGACGTCACCGCTTGTAGATCGAACGCGGCCAGCGCCTCACATGCCTCGTGCGCAGAGCACTCCTGCAGTGTCACTCCCGCTCTTAAGGGTACCGCCGCCGGCAGGTGGTGACGTCACCGCTTATAGATCGAACGCGGCCAGCGCCTCACATGCCTGGTCCGCAGAGTACTCCTGCAGTGCCACTCCCGCTCTTTTGAGCACGGCCGCCGGCAGGTGGCTAGCAGCGCCTGTACAGTTTCAGACCCGGTGGCTGTGCGGTATGCGGCGACTGAGCGTACGCTGGACACATTTGTACCGCTGTATGAGTACCTTGCCGGGAGCCATCGGGGTCGCGTAATGGCCCGGAAGAGCCTTCAGTGGTTGCCGCAATCATGCTGACAATGCGCAAAGTTGGAGGTCACTGGGCTGCACCCAGGCGTGATAGGGCCGAAGGCATACGTGCTTAGGAGGTGCCGGTGGGAATGAGACATTTACAACCCCACCTGGCGCGTGATGCTTCGGGTGGACCGCCAACTGTGTTCCGCGCACCCAGCGAGGGCAGGGAAGGGGGACTGACTGATCTCGGGGACTGGTTACATCCGCAAAACCGGTTCGGCTAGCTGGCAAGGCCGGCGAGACAGAGATCTTCAGCCACCAAAACAACGTAAACAACCACCCTTGAATGCCGTTGGGCTGCCCTAGTCAAATGTGTGGCAGAGCAGAGAAGATATTAATCTAAAAGAACATTCATCATCAAGTGACTGATGCCAGACAAGAACTTAACCATACTTACCCATCCGGCTCTCGATCTCCTTCATTACGAGTTACTTGGCATACACATGCTGACCTAACGCTAGGAAGACACATCGCGTTTTCCAACGAAGTACTTCACTGCTTCCCATCAATAGCTATCCAGGCGTTAAACAACACATCTGGCGTATTATGCACACAGCGCCGCGATCTCTGCGGGCGACTGCCACCGGGGGCGGCCGGACTCTGGGCCTGCAGTCAGGCTCCAATTCTCGCTCCACTGCCCAGGCGTTAAGCAGCACATCTGGCGTATTATGTACACAGCGCCGCGATCTCTGAGGGCGACTGCCACCGGGGGCGGCCGAACTCTGGGCCTGCAGTCAGGCTCCAATTCGCGATCTCTGAGGGCGACTGCCACCGGGGGCGGCCGAACTCTGGGCCTGCAGTCAGGCTCCGATTCTCGCTCCACTGCCAACTGCTCGGCCTCGTCCAAACGACATTTGGTCCAGCTACACAGTGTCCGCCGATCCATGGATTCGCTTCAGTTTATCCCGCACATCATCCGCATGTACCGTATGCCACACATATCCCACAACGTCAGCTGAAATCCATGCCTGCCGTGGGAGGGAAGGGGAAGTTGTGGGACACAAGTAACCCACCCACATGGGGATTTGAAATAATTGTGATATTACAGCGTTGTAAAAACACGCCAACGGATCAAGCAAACTGCGTTCAAACATCTTCAAAAATAGGCCAACATTTTAATAGAAAATGTGCTTCTCGTCGCTGAAATTTTCACGGCGGAGCAATCGGCGACTGCCAACATACAAACACGTGAAAAGCGCTACTGGCCGGGTCCAGACGCTGAGCCCACAGAATGTCCCGTTAGTTTACGTTAAGACTCGCTCAGCCGGCGGCCTCGCTCGTCGACAGCGACTGTACACGACAGTTCGAGACGGCACGGTACGAGCAGCCCGCGGGTGTGGCTGCCGACCGGTCTCGCTCGTCGACAGCGGCTGTACACGACAGTTCGAGACGGCACGGTACGGGCAGCCCGCGGGCGGGGCTGCCGACCGGTCTCGCTCGTCGACAGCGGCTGTACACGACAGTTCGAGACGGCACGGTACGGGCAGCCCGCGGGCGGGGCTGCCGACCGGTCTCGCTCGTCGACAGCGACTGTACACGACAGTTCGAGACGGCACGGTACGGGCAGCCCGCGGGCGGGGCTGCCGACCGGTCTCGCTCGTCGACAGCGGCTGTACACGACAGTTCGAGACGGCACGGTACGGGCAGCCCGCGGGCGGGGCTGCCGACCGGTCTCGCTCGTCGACAGCGACTGTACACGACAGTTCGAGACGGCACGGTACGGGCAGCCCGCGGGTGTGGCTGCCGACCGGTCTCGCTCGTCGACAGCGACTGTACACGACAGTTCGAGACGGCACGGTACGGGCAGCCCGCGGGTGTGGCTGCCGACCGGTCTCGCTCGTCGACAGCGATTGTACGCGACAATCGGAGATGCCACGGTACGGGCAGCCCGCGGGCGGGGACCGCCGACTGGTCTCGCTCGTCGACAGCGGCTGTACACGATAATCCGAGACGGCACGGTACGGGCAGCCCGCGGGCGGGGACTGCCGACGGCATCCTCGGCGGTGCCGGACTGGCGGGGTCGGTCAACGCGAGCTGCTGCGATGCCACGCCCGTCCAGTGGCCCGCGGCACACGTGACCCGCAGTGGTTCACCCGGAGATCCAATCAGTCCATTCATTACACAGCGGGCATCAGTGGATACCTGGTGGTCCATAGGGCGACCTCAGTAAAAAAAAATCAGTGGTAAGTCTGGGAAGTCGCTAAACGAGGAGAGACGGGGTAATTGTACTACAAAAATCCGATCATGTAAACCATGGATGACCGCTACTGAAGGACGTCGTAATCTGGTGTCTGCATGCAATCAACACCCCGGCGCCGGTCTCCATCTCTTCTCCATCTCTGGCGCGCTGACCCGCCGCCCGAGGCGCATGCTCC